AAAGGCCTCAGCTGGAGAGTGCCAGGCCCAGGCTAGATCCACCTATAGGCACTTGGACAATCCTGATTCCCAGCCTTTAGGATCTTTGACCCCCAATGCCTGTCTTCTTCTGGAGCCTGATATTTGACATCCATCATCCGGCCCTGCCTGAGGAGAGACCTCCTAGAGAGCTTGGTCCACCCAGAGCTACAGACATTGAACTTCTAACCCACCTAAGCCCACCTGGGGGATACCATAGAAAGAGAGAGAGACCCCACCTGCACCTACTGGAAGAAGCGATGGGAAGATGTCAATACAAGAAAACACCTAACAATAGAAAGACAAGCATAATACCACCAGGATCTAGGGACTCTACACCAACTAGACCTGAACACTCCAAAGCAGATGAAGCAGAAGAGAACGACTTAAAAATTGTTGTCATAAAAATGATAGAGGCCCTCATATATGATGTGAGAAAATCCCTTAAAGAAATGGAAAAGAAAAGAAACAAAAAATTGGAAGAAATTAACAAATTTCTTAAAGAAAGTACAGAAAGCCAAGAAAAAAAAAATTATTGGGTCGCTTATGTAAACTATCATATCATCTGCAAATAGAGACAGTTTGACTTCTTCCTTTCCATTTTGGATCCACTTGATCTCCTTTTGTTGTCTTATAGTTTCAGCTAGAACTTCAAGTATAATATTGAAGAGATATGGAGAGAGAGGGCAGCCTTGTCTTGTTCCTTAAACTTCTCTCCATTCAGTTTGATGTTGGCTGTTGGTTTGCTGTATATTGCTCTTATTATGTTTAGGTATGTTCCTGTTATCCCTGATCTCTCCACGACCTTTATCATGAAAGGTTGTTGAATTTTGTCGAAGGCTTTTTCAGCATCTAGGGAGATGCTCATGGTTTTTGTTTTTCTGTTTGTTTATATTATGGATCACGTTGATAGATTTTCATATGTTAAACCATCCCTGTAATCCAGGGATGAAGCCTACTTGGTCATGGTGGATGATTTCTCTGATGTATTCTTGGATTAGATTTGTCAGTATTTTATTGAGTATTTTTGAATCGATGTTCATCAGGGATATTGGTCTGTAGTTTTCTTTCTTAATTGTGTCTTTGTGAGGCTTTGGTACGAAGGTTATTGTGGTCTTGTTGAAAGAGTTTGGCAATGAACCTTCTGTTTCAATTTTGTGGAACAGTTTGAGGAGTAGTGGTATTAGTTCTTCCTTGAATGTCTAGTAGAATTCTGCAATGAATCCATCTGGCCCTGGACTTTTTTTGGTTGGAAGGCTTTCGATGACTGCTTCTATTTCATTGCGGGTTATAGGTCTATTTAAGTTGTTTGTCTATTCTTGATTTAATTTTGGTAAGTGATAGTTATCCAGAAATTTGTCCATTACCTTTAAATTTTCAATTTTCGTGGAATACAGGTTTTCAAAGTATGACTTGAAAATTGTCTGGATTTCCTCTGTGTCCATTATTATGTTCCCCTTTTCGTTTCTGATTTTGTTAATTTGCATGTTCTCTCTCTGCTTTTTTGTTAGTTTGGATAAAGGTTTGTCTGTCTTGTTGATTTTCTCAAAAAACCAACTCTTTGTTGCATTGATTTTTTGTATTGTTTTCCTGTTTTTTATTTTGTTGATTTCAGCCCTCGAATTGATTATTTCCTGGTGTCTACTCCTCCAAGGTGAGGTTGCTTCTTTTTGTTCTAAGTCTTTCAGTTGTGCTGTTAATTCTCTTATGTGACTATCCTCTGTTTTCTTCATATGGGCACTTAGTGCAATGAATTTCCCTAGTAACACTGCTTTCAAGGTGTCCCATAATTTCGGGTATGTTGTGTACTTATTCTCGTTGGATTTTAGAAAGTCCTTAATTGACAGATTTACATGACTCCACCTGGATGGCATTGCCATACATGTGGAATTGGGGTGGGGGGATGGGAAGGGAAGGTGGTCAGGGTGCATGTGAAGGGGTAGAGAGTGTAAGAGGGATAGAGGGAGGGAGGGAGGAAGAGGGAACTGGGATCGACATGTAAAATAAAAATAAATAATTAAAATAAAAAGAAAGAAAAAAATATTTGCAGAGATGTTGCCCATTAAAAATATAGTAGTGATCTAGAGCTCTTCAACTTTTCACAGAACAGTTTATAATGGAGGAAGTTAACTTTAAAATGATATTAGCTTCTAAGGAGAAAGTATGTCATAATAATATTATACACACACACACACACACATACACACACAAACACACACACACACACACACATATATATATATGGAGTAACTTAATTAATTAAATATTTTCATATATGATCTAGGATGAATGATTTCCTGGACTTATCATCCTATTTTTAATTTTTTCAATTTGCAAATACAATGAAGTTGGCAACTGAGTATTTTTTGTGATTGATGTTATCAAATTTGGAAGTTCTAACTGTTAAAGTATTCACTTTTGGGGAGGACATTTCTCCTAAAGTGTTGCTGCTATTTTATTGTTAAATGTTCCAGTTATATCAGTATTTGTTCTGTATATCAGTATTTGTTTTGTAATCATCAAAACATATTGTTTTTTTTAAACTTTAATAATTACAAAATGTCCCAATATAGTACTGAGCTCTTTCATAGATGAAAATTATGCAAGTTTGTTTATTCTGTGGCAAAGACTCCAGTAAGTAAGCTTATTTTAAAAGGCCAATTATATTTTAAAATTTCTGATTAGAAAAAAGCAAATATAACCAACAAACTCAGTAGTGAGTTCCTGTAGGACTAAATTATACAGCATACATACTTTTACTGTCAAAGGTTCAGAATATGGTGTTCTTTCTAATTATATGCTCATGCTGTGATGACAACAACTTTAAAAGCTACTTTATGTTAAATATAAAGGTGTTGGTGGGGTTAGATGAAAAAGTGCTATCAAAAACAATTTCTTGCTACCACTCTCTTAAATCTAATTGTTTATCAATTAGAAAACAAATTAACATGGACAATTTAAGGCTTAATTCAAACTGTTCTGTTTGTATATGTTATCTAGCTGAATAAAGAAATTATCAATGGAATATGGTTTTAATTCAGTGGAAACAGTTTGAGATTTAGCATCTGAAAAGCCAGAATTTATCAAAAGCAATATTTTAAAAGCACATTTATTGTATAATACATGTAGACATCTTTCTGAACAGCCATCTCTGAAAGTCTCCTAGTTCTTCACTAGCTAATTTATGTAGTCAATTTCTATTTTGTTAGGTCTCCAAACTGGAAAGCAATTTCAAAGAGAAGAATATGCTAGATTGGGACAGACATGTTGGATCACTTGTGTTTTCTACAGTCAAGGAAATATTTACAGGACTCAATAATATAAACATTTAGATAGACAAAATAATAACAATAGTAACCATTTATCCACAGAAAGACTGAGAGAAGGAAAGGAAATGGAGAAGGATATATATCAAACTGGTAGATATATATATATCCTAGCTGATAAGCATTTCATGTGCCCTTCCTCATTAGTTTTATCCACACTGAGTGTGTACATGGCACTTTCTAAAATCTGAGAGGAAAGGAGAGAAAGTAAAGCCAAATAGAAGATTTGGAAACCAGATAGATAACAGAGATAACAGATATAACTATAGGGATAAGAAGAATTAAAATGTCTGAAATGGAAAAGTATGCTAGATTTTCTAATTCATAGTTTCTTCCTACAAAACATTTGACAGTTTTAGAGGATACCATTTTGCAAATATGAACATTTACATTAGGATAGTCATCCAGAATACTTTAATATTTTTGAATGGTGCTTTGGAATAGATCTTTAATGCTGCTATATTAAAGTTCATATATTTAATTTATTTGATTTTAGGTAGAAAAATTACTTGCCACAAATCTTTTATATTCAATAAACACTGAGTTTAACCTTTCAGTGTCCCAGTATTTAACTGGCCTTGATGCTACCAGTTTAGACATACATAGATATATACATACATACATACATACAAATATACTGAGTTTGGGTTGTTTAATTTCAGTATAGTTCTTCTGTAGAATAAAGAGATAACTATTGGCATATTTAAAGATAAACATAGGACAACAAAAAGAATTTGTGGCTGTCTTAGTTAGGGTTTCTTACTGCTGTGAAGAAACCCTATGACCACAGCAACTGTTACAACGAAAATATGTAATTGAAGTAGGGGCTTACAGTTTCAGAGGTTCTGTCCATTATCATCATGATGGGGAGCATGGTAGCATTCAGGAAGTCATGGTGCTGACTACATTTTACCAGAAGGCAGCAGCAAGTTGACTGTCACACTGAGTGAAGCTTGAGAAAAGAGATCTCAAAGCCTACCCCCACAGTGACACACTTTCTCCAATAAGACCACGCCTACTCTAACAATGCCACACCTCCTAATAGTGTTACTCCCTTTAGGGGGTCATTTTCTTTCAAACCGCAACAGTGGCACTTTATGATTCATTTGAACAACAATATTTCTGATACCTCCTAAACTTGCAGTCTCATGTGACAGCAAGGTCCCTTTTATTTTATTTTCTAATTCAGAGCAAATCCTAAAATAATTGAATCTCCAAGATCTCCACATGACTTCTTTTTAACCATCTCTGCAACTGGAAATATATTGCTAGATATAAGATTTTAATATCTATAGAAAATTCTTGTCTTTTTACTCGTATCTCCTTTGCCCTCTTCTGGCAATTTGTTTCCTTTTCATTATATACTTTATTTTTCTTGAAGCCTGTCTTTGATATCTGTGCAAGTTGATTTTACCCAGCAAAAAATGATGGGAAAAGAGGAAAAGAACATTCCAGTGTCACTGCTGCAGGCCTGGCCCTGTACTCTATTGATATTTGATATAAAACCTGGCACTAAACACCCCATTACTTGCAGTTTTAATTTTCAATAACATTTACTTTAGCATTTGTATATTCTGCTTTAATTATCCATGGCAGTTCTTTCTTTGATGTCTTCTGTAAACTTAGTTTATTTGACAAACGAATTTCAGTGTTTACCTTGCTTTGATTAAGTTGAGGAAAATTCCTATCAGTATCCAAACCATATGCAGAATTATGGTAAGGTTGAAGTTCTGGCATACTCCTCTCTTCTCTGGCACATAAAAATTAAAAATATTCGGTTATGATATAGCATTTGCATTAACTGATTATACCAATATCTTAAATTTTTGTATAATACACAATGAATATTCCCATTTTATGACTGTACTCAAGTAAAGGAATTAGTAGGAGTTGCAATATATCAAATCTATTTCATGATCAAGGTGCTTTACTTCATCTGATTTTATATAGCATTTTGTTTCAAAAACTTTTAAGCATATAGAAAACTAAAAAGGAATTTCAGCAAATATCCTTATATCTGCCACATTGACCTAAACATTACCATTTTATTGCATGTATTAACATACATATATTTATATATCCATTTTCCTATCCAACCATTAATCTATGTTATTTATTACGCAATTGAAAGTAAATTTTAGAAAGCAGGATATTACACAAAGAATCGTACTGTCTCATTTAAATATTATAGAAAGCCTGCTTGTTAGGGGCTTTGAATTCAATTTCCAGATAAGAAACTTAAGGCTAAGAGAATTTAAGGAAAGGGGAAGTAATGCAGGGAAGAAGTATGAACCCTATTTATGCTCAATAATATTTACATTCTCTACTAAGCTAAAGAATCTCAGAGTAGATTCAGAGTTATCTCATCAATTCACAATCCAAATAATGAAAGAGATATAAAAAGGAACTCAAACTAAAAATCACATGAAGTAAAATGACACACCAAATCCAGTAGATTCTGTGTGACAAGTTCTACAGACTGCTGAGGAGATAGCTTCAAAAGGAGGAGGTCTCCTGGAAACGATTGTGGAACCCTTGGCAGGAGGAAAATATTGAGCCATATTTCTCTTAGCAATCTCTGTTCCTCTATTTTTTTTCTCATATTATTAAAATGCTCCTGAAAGCCTATGCTGACATTTTAAACAAAAGATACAAATGAGAAACTGTCCCCTGAGATGTGGTCACTGACCATGACCTCGTCTCCAGGAAAGCAGCGCTTTCATATCACTCACATAAGTACAAGTAGTATCAACGAAAACTTTCCCAACAATAAAATTTCATATGGCTGCATATGTGTAACTGAGAGTGGGTTTAAACTTTTGGTAAAGAAAGCCTTTTGATAGGAAAAAAGTCAAAATAGCTCAATATTTTAATTCTTAAGAGCTAGGCAACAAATATTAAACAATAACTGACCATAAAGATTTATTAATCTAATCTTAGAAAATAGGTGGTTAGGTGTGATTAGCCTTGAATGATTTTCTGATTTTTTGTTAGCTTTGAATAAGCTGTAGGTTACTGTACCTAACAACGATGATGTCATTTGTTCTATATGGATTTGATTCAATGAATAAAATTTCTGAGAAACTATTCTATATCCTGGATAAAAAGCCTTGCTTGAAAGTTGCAAAACACACTCAGATTTAAACTGCCTCTGTGTTTGTTTCTGTTTGTCACCCCCTAATCTTTACCCACCTAGTCTTCAAGAACCCTCATCCCAGGGACCCCCATACCCAGCTGGGGTGGTCTGTGGCAGTGAAAGAAAACAGAGTAGCTAAAGTGTACAGAAATCCCAGAAATGAACTCAAATCCTATGAAGGCTACTACTATCTTGATTTATACTAGGTTTTAATTTTGTCTATCATTCTCAATACCATTAATTAATTAATTTAAATCTCAGACTAATGAAGAAGTAAGACATATACTTCTCTTTCTATAAATGAGGAAACTAAACTTTGATTAATTCACAGTCACAGAATCAATAGAAGAAAGAGAAAGAAACAGTTAAAACTTTGGAATCGAAGACTGAAGTGCTCAATGGTTAAAAGCATTTGCTGCTCTTCCAAGGTACAAAAATTCAGTTCCCCTGCACCCATGTTCAGCAGCTCATGACTGTCTATAACTTTAGCTATAGGATATCAGGTGCCCTCTTCTAGTGTCTGTGTGTATCCACCCTCACATTTCATACACAGACACACATGCACATAAATAAAGATGATAAATATAACAACGAACTTTGGGATAGGAAAATTACAGAGACTATTTCTAAAGTGACCTACATGTTACTTAAAATGATTCTTTAGTGTCTCAAGGGGTTTACATATTATATCAACTGATAGTATGAAATCCTTCATATTAATTTGAATTTACACCATTAATTCTGATTAACTGTATATATGTCTATATATCCATACATACATATGAATATAAACACACAACATGGCACAAAGATTGGAAATTTAAGTTGATAAAATGGCTGGTGAGTTTAATCTTCCTCTTTCAACAGACAAACACTTATGGCAGTTTAAATCCCTAATTTTGTTTCAAATTGAAATCAGTACTTATCACTATGAGGCAAACAGTACCAGTTTCCATTTTAATATAGTATTTCAAAGCATCTCTATAATGCTTGGAAAGTAACATCTTGTCACAGAGAAATGATAAAGCAGATGATAATTTTAATTGACAGAAAACTGATGACATCACACATTGGTATTTACCCCTCATGTTTCTGAAGTTCAGAAACATTGACAACTATAAAAGATAGAGTTTGTTTTACATATAGGAATAAAGTGACACAGTAAGGCACACTAGCCTTACCACTGCTTTAGTCAATCAGATCCCATTAGCACAGCATGGAATTTATGCCTAGTAACCAGATTTAGCCCCAAAACCTTGGCCAAGTTATTTGATCTTCTATGTCTCAGTAGTGTCATCAGTATTTTATAGGGTTGTTGAGAGGATTAAATGAATTAATAAGTGTGAAACATTTGTAACTCATCTTGCCATGCATAATGAACAGCCAATACCTGATTGCTCCTTTTAGTAATCCTCGCTATCTCTGAAGTTTGTCTGATTATAAACAACTCTATTTTGCAAGATGAGAAAATTAAAGCCCAAGGAAGGGAAATCAGTTAAATAAGACAGAATGTTGTCAAAGCCAAGGTTATTAGATTGGTATCTTTGATATTGCTGCTGATATAAGGGAGTTGGATAGACTAACACAGCAGCATCTGATTCATTGTTCCCACACCACCAGTGAGGAAATTGTGGTACACACAAACCTTAGTGGAAAGAAAATGCTGAAATGGGACATTTGTCAATTGCATTTGATTTTTATCTAGAGAAAAGTTTTTTAGATTTTTCTCTACCAAAATCCTAAACTAAATATGTGTTCTTTGGCACTATTAATTTGACTTAAATTATAATATTGATGAATCGGAAAGAAAACATACATATTGTACGGATAATAAATAAGGTTTATTATATTTTGATTCATTTTATGGTCACATGAGAGACTATCTACTTTTTTCTGAAGTACTTAGAAATCATTTACCTGTGATGTCTTTCATTCTTCTTTGATTCCCTTTTACAGTAGTGGATAATCTGGATTGCCACACCAACGATTACAGCCAGTGCTATTCCAGGCAATGTTGCTACTAAAATCAGGTCTACAGTGGTCCACAGTTGTTTGCACTTGTCCCCCATGTACCAGTAGTCTCCCCACTGACCTCTGTAATTTGGACATCTAGGTGGAGATAAAATAAATATCTCACACAATAGAGAAATCCAAGTCTCATATGAGTGAATCAAACATTTCATTGTTGGTCGAGCATGAAATTTTTCCAAGTTCCTTCTTAACAGATTTATGTCATCCCATTTTTCTATTTGAGCAAGTGTTCTAAACCTACAAGTTTGTACACATTCAGTGATCATACCAAGTCTGTAGGATTTCAGGATTTCCTAACCATCAGCTAATGAAGATGTGTCAGTTACCACTTAGGTACAGGGAGAGGAAAGTTGTCTTAAGAATGCTTCCAAGATTACCAACATTTTGTTCACAGCTCCTTCCTGTGCTCTACTTTGGCTACTTTAGCTCTCTGGATTCTTGAAAAGAGGTCTACTCCATCTAAGCTGCCAGTTCTTTAATGGCAATGTGTTCTTCCCTCCACCACTCACTTCTTAATTACAAGTTAACAAACTGATTCTACCACACCACAATAAATGCAAGAAGAAACATGAGAAGAGACTAGGCTTCCAGGAAAATAAGCCTGCCCCCATGTTTCCCAGGACTCCAGAGTTTTTCCTTATTTATTTATTTATTTATTTTAGAAAGAAGTGACTCATTTATGAATTACATGTGCTTTCATAAGTCTTGGGGTGCAGCCAAATAACGTGAATATGGTTCTTTAGTGCATAGAGTAAAAACTGGCATGGCATACACCCACATAGAAATGTTGACAGATTTGTGAAGATAGGAGAATGGGGTTAGTCATGCTTCCCTGGGAGTGACTAAAGGAGGAGTTTACTGATGTAGTTCTTTAGAGATTTTCTTCACTGTTTCCTAATGGACTGATATGAGATTACCCTGTTGTTCAATAAAGGCAGTAAGTAAGTAAGCTACTTGTGGCCTTTTGTGTTGTTTCAACACATTAAATATTACTGAACAGTTGACATGAAGAAACTTATTATATGGTTATTATAACCTTTTATACCACTTAGGGACTATATATTATTTTTCAAATTAATAGTCGCCTATTTATAGGATGCACCTTTAAATATGTAATATATTTTCACCCATTTATGGAAGTCAAAAGAGAGTTTTCATATATCAGTCTGCATACGGTTCTTCCTGGAAAAAAGACTTTAGTGAGAATATATTTCTTCTTTAGCTGAGAAATAAATCACAAATGAAGTGTTTAGTTTATAATAATATTTCCCTCACACAACACATATTGACTATGTCCTAAATATTATTACAGATATTTGAGATAAACACTGAAAAAACAAAATGATCAATATACTCAATTAACATAATATAACAGAGAGAATAAGAAAATGTAAGCAAAATTAGCAATTTATCTACCATGTTTAAATTTGAGAAGAGCTATGGGGTTAAGTAAAATGGGATGAGTTAAGAGGAATTGATACTTTTAATATATTCTTCAGCTAACACTGACATTTCTTATACAGTTTCTGGTGAGTGAGATTAAAAATGTGGATTACATTGACAAGTTGTTGATCAACATGGAATTATAATTAAGTAAGAAACATTGATTATACAACATGATGAATGTATTTATTGATTATATATTATCATCTTGAAAAATACTAAAAGAGTGGCTATTTTATGCTGTCACCATAAAAGTGAGGTCATACATATAATTAACTAGATTTAACCATATTGTAATGGGTATATTATATATGTATACATACATATACAATACCACATATTATGTGATAAATACAAAGATTCGAGTGTCAAATAAATAAATACATATATAAAGATTTTATTCCATAATGATACCATGAAACAAAGAATTTTATGTGCTACTCAAGACTTATGTAAGAATTAAATGGAAAGAAATATTTCAAATATTTACAATAGTAACTGCTTCTGAGTCTCTTCTGAAATAACACTTCATTTCTTACCCCTAGCTGCATGGTGGTAGAGCAAATTTAAGCCTTCATTTTACTTAACCTATCAGCAACATTTAACATCGCTAATTACTTCATCTTCATTGAATTTTCATTTGGCTTCCAGAACATTCTTTTATTCATCTATTTTTTCTAGTTCATTTTTCATCTCTAAATACCTTTCCTAGTTTCTTGTCTTCATCCCACCTATTAAAGTTGGAGTATTACATAGATTTCCATCACTTTTTTTTTTAGATTTGTATGCCTACCTTGGAGTACTTGTGGAATCTAGGAAACTAGAAAAAGACCTTGGGGATGGGGAAAAATATCTTAAGAGAAGGAATAGTAGAATACTAGTTATATGAAGTGGGGGAGAAGGGTAATGGAAGTTTAGGTGGAGAAATGGATGGGAGAGTAGGGCAGAAGAGAGGGTAGGATGTGGGATAACTAACACTAATAATGTTTAAAGAGGCACCCAGGGTTGTATATGCCTTTAATTCAGCACTTGAGAGTTAAAGCCAGGCTGCTTTCTGTGAATTTGCAGCCAACCAGGTCTACATAGTGAGTTTGACACCAGCCAGAGCTATATAGTGAGACTCTGACTAAGATAAAATATGTTTGAATATGCTATTTAAAACATATATTTATACATGTACACACAGAATGAGAAAGAGAGAGAGGGAGGGAGGGAGGAAGAGAGAGATTTACATAAAAGTTTAATTGTAGTCACGCTATACAGGGTATTATGCTCTTTCTGAAAGCCAAAGTTTACCAAATTAAAAGTTCAGTGCTAAGTGTGGGATACCTACTGTCAGGTTGTTGGTCAGTGGTGACGTTGACCCAGAAATCCCCAAAACAATACAGGCTATCAATATTGCACTTTGTTTTTAACCAGAACTTGTTGGTAAGACTTTATTATTGAAGAAACCACATACTTATGTCACAGAACTGAAAATCAAATGTTGCTGATTGGAACTTCTTCCTTGAATGGCTAGATTTCATGGTACCAGAAAGTACTATGTAAGCTGCTACATAGTAACAGTTTTACCTAGTTGTAAACTACAATGACAGGTGTGACAAGATATGGCAGTGGTGGTTGCAATAGCAGCACAGATGTTATGGAGTTAACGTACCTTTGAAATGTGTTTAAGGCCCAGCACACAGTTGGAGAGTTGGAGACACAAGCCTAAGAACACATGGCTGGGGAGATCACAAGCCCCTCAGTGAATCTACTATTACCATTTTCCTAAATGGATACAGCATCAAACTGCCCTCTAAATTACTATGTCTCTACTCACAGATTAGTGTGCCTCTCATTTACCAATTATACATCTGACAATGAGTTATTATTTAGAGTATACAAAAACTAAACTTCAAATAATCAAGAAAACAAATAAATGGGGTGCATAACTATACAAAGAGTTCTCAAAAGATGAAACATAATTGACCCAGAAACACTTGAAGAAATATTCAGCATCCACAGCCATCAAGGAAATGTAAATAAAACTACTTTGATATCCCATCTTACCCCAGTCATAATGGCCAAGATCAATAAAACAAATGACAGAATGTGGTGATGATGCAAGAAAAAAGGAACATGTACTGTTTGCTAGAGGGAATGCAAATTTATACAGCCACTTTGCAAATCAGTGTGGTAGTTCATCAAGGAGGCTGTGAATCAGTCTTCCTCAAGATTCACTCATGTTCATATACTCAAAAGACTCTATAGCCTATTACAATAGAGCTAGAAACAAATCATCCTGGGTAAGATAATCTAGACTCGCAAAGACAAATATTTTTTTTAAAAAAAATATTACAACAGGAAGGATCAGGAAGATTGAGTTGGGGGAAGAATAGAGGAGAATAAGAAAGAGATACCTTAATAGAGGGAACCATTATAGGTTTAAAGAGAAACCAGGCACTAGGGAAATGTCCAAGGTTCCACAAGGATGACCTCAACTTAGATCTAAGCAATAGTTGAGAGGCTACCTTAAATGTCCTTCTCCTATAATGATGACTACTTTATATGCCACTATAGAGCCTTCATCCAGTAACTGATGGATGCAAAAGCATAGGTTCACAGCCAAGCACATAGCCAAACTCCTGGAATGCAGTCATAAAGAGGGAGGAATAATGAATCAAGACCATGCTGGGGAACACAGAAACAGCTGACCTGAGCAAGAGAAAGTTCATGGACCCCATTCTGACAGCTTGGGAATGAGCATAGAGCCAAACCAGGCTCCCTGAACATGGGTGTCAGTTGGAAGTACTGGGCAGTCTATGGGGGCCACTGGCAGTGAAATCAGTATCTATCCCTAGTGTATGAATGGGTTTTGGGGAGCCTATTCCCTATGGAGGGATACTCTCCCAGCCTAGATACACAGGGGAGGGCCAAGGTCCTTCCCTAAATGATGTGTCAGATGATCCTTCATGGGAGACCTTACCCTCCCTGGGGAGTAGAAGGATGGTGGAGTGCAGTTTGGTGGGGAGCTTGGAGGGAGAGAGAACTGGGATTTGCATGTAAAGTAAGATTGGTTTTTATTTAAGTGAAAATTTATTTTAAAATATTTTTTAGCTATTTGTATTTCATCTGAGACCTCTATTCACTTGCATTGTCTAATTTAATTCGGTTGGGTTTTTTTGGGTGTTTAGACTTTTCATTTTCATGTACATTCTAGACACTATTCTAGCAAAAGTACATGGCAAAGATTTTTGTTGTTGCTGTTTATTTTTCTATTCAGTGGGCTGGCGATGGCCATTTATTTGACCAGTTTATTTGGCTGTGACCTGGCTACAAACAGAAGAAAAAGGAAATAGATACACACTGAGCATAATGACACATAATGGTATTCCCAGAAATCTGGGAGCAGAGACCAAATCATCACAAACTCAAGGCTATCCTGGGTTATGTAGCTAGATTCCCCCCCCCATTTTTTTCAAATAACTAAGAAAGTAGTAAATGAAGAAGCCAAAATTTTAAATTCAGATCACATATTTGAGGAAATTAAGAACAAGAGCAAATAGGTACCAGCTTCTTTCTCATGGTCAGAATAGCAGCAAAGTATTGAGATGTCTGGGAAGTGAAGAATGAGGAGGAACTTGATAGTTGAAGACATCCACCTACACACACACACACACACACACACACACACACACACACACACACACTAGCTTTGCTTTCTGCCTGAAAACTAACACAAGACAAAGAAAAAGCAAAACACATGCAACTGTTAGAAAAAGGCCTTCATGTAAAAAAAAAAAAAAAAAAAAAAAAAAAAAAAACAACCTAGAACTGTTCAAGTTTATACTCTCCAACTCTCTACTCTCCAGAAACCAGAAATGTTAGATACTCCTAAAGCTTAAACATTTGGTCTCATGAGAATCTGACTGGCTGGATGATGGGTTTCTGGGATAGGGAAGAAAATAGCACACATATATAAAGAAAACCATTAAATTGAGGGTGGCTTATTTACAGTTTCAGAGGTTTAGTTCATTATCATCATGGTGAGGAACATGGTGGCATGTTGTGCCTGCATCTTGCAGGCAACAGGAAGTCGACTGAGACAATGGGTAGTATCCTGAGCATAGGCATCCCCAAAACCTGCCCTGACAGTGACACTTCCACCAACAAGGCCATAACCACTCCAAAAAAACCACACCTTCTAATAGTGGAAAATGGCACTTCTTTAAGAAGAAATGAAGCTGAGAAAAATAATTATGATTTTATTCATTCACCCTATGTCTCATATTCATAATGACTGTCAAAGCTAAGGAAATATTAATCTTACTTAGTGGATCATCTTCGGCAGAAGAGAGGCATTTCCAATTGAGCAGGACCTTCTAGGACAAGGACAATCCTCATGGAAAAACATAGAGGAAGGTATTATGCAAGAATTGAGCATTCAGCAGCAATTTGTGCTCAAGTCTCTCAAGAACATGATAAAGCCATTTTTATAGCCCAATAAAAAATAGCTGTTACAAAATGCTCCTTGACAATGTGCAATCACTTGTTCCTCCTCTCTTTCTCTTTATCCTTATAGTCAGCCAGATTGTTTATATGTTTATTGTGAGGGCAAGGCTACTGCCAGACAGGGAGACATCAAATGTGGCCAGGACAAGGTGTAACTTTCCATAAGACTTGATAGGAGAAAAAAACAAATAAGAATAGAAGGGGATTCAATCTTCCTAGTCCCAGGAAAATTGAGTCAGGGAACACACAAAAGGGAGAGAGAGAGAGAGAGAGAGAGAGAGAGAGAGAGAGAGAGAGAGAGAGAGAGAGGGAGGGAGGGAGGGAGGGAGAGAGAGAGAGAGAGAGAGAAAGAGAGAGAGAGAGAATATAAAAGAGGGAGCCAGCATCATAGGTTTGAAGAGAAAACTGACTCTAGAGAAATGTTCAAAGACCTACAAGATGGACACCAACAAATAATTTGAGCAACATTGGAAATGCTACCATAAATGCCCTTGCCTAATAACAAGATCGATAACTAACTTATCCACCATCATAGAGTCCTCATCTAGTAGCTCATGGAAACAGAAGCAGACACCCACAGCTAAACACTAAGCCGAATTGGAATCCAGATGCAAAGAGGGAAAACAAGACCAGGCTACAGAAACTCAAAGAGACAGCTGACCTGAACAAGGAGGAGCTAATGGAACCCCAGACTCATAGCTGGGAATCTGACTCTGATCCCCTGAACATGGGTCTTAGTTAGAATGCCTGGAAAGTCTAAGGGACCTCTGACAGTGGAACAAAGATGTATCCCTGGTGCACAAAAGGACTTTGGTAGCACATTCCCCATGGAGGGACACTCCATTAACCTAGAGACAGGAGGGAGGGTCTAGTCCCTACTCCAAATTACTTGACAGATTTTGTTGACTCCTCCTGGAAGGCATCACCCTCCCTGTGGAGTGGAGGGGGAATGGGATGGAAGGGTGTTCGAGGGGCATGTGGGGGGGAGGATAGGTGAGAGGGAAGGAGAGAGGGAGAGGGAATTGGGATCGACATGTAAAATAAGAAAATAATAAATAGTAAAAAATATCAAAAAAACTTAATGGGATATAAAAGAAGAGAATGGGGAAAAATTAAGGATCAGATAAGACAACAAGAAAGCAGATTATGGAAGGAACAAAGAACAGTTTCAAATTTTTGCTTTGCTTTCCACAGAGGAAGAAGAGCTTCCCCATTGATTAATTTAATAAGCCCTTAAAAAGAGGAGAGATAAAATGGTACACAAATGGAAATGAATGTCTAGAATATAGTTTATCTGCACTTTTCCAACTTAAAAATTTTTCAACCCTCAGAGCCCTTTCCTATACATGGTGATAATGTTATTCATTTTCATTAGTGGTTTTTCTCTGACTATCTTCTCTTTTAGTCAATGAGGCAAGCTTTCTTACTCATATAACATGTTTTCTTCCAACCACTCTCATTTCATGGTTAAAAAAATGGAACATTTGCTTGAATTTTAAAATAAAAATTTATGACTCACCATACTTTTATGCTTTAAAAACCAGTAAAAGGAATTCTGTCATGTCATAGTATATCTGAATTATATCTTGATTTGCAAACAAAAAGACCTTTATTCATTACTGAATAAAATGATACACACCTAACTTTTCCTTGTTTGTTAGAATTATAAAATAATTTACTACTAATAAAGATTATCTGCAGAAGGTAAATATGAGAAGGATTAATCTCATAAAATCAAAAGAAAGCTTCTAGGAAGACCACAACCATTGTCTCATGTGCATAGGAACTGGTTCTGATTATATTATTATTTTCAAGTGTTACATCATCGCAGTTACATCGCAGGCAGTATTATTTACAATATACCATGTTCCATTTTTTTTATAGAGCATAAATACTACTTACTTGCAAAAAGGCTTTCCATCTTTGCATGCACAGGCAACATCTCTAGGGCAGAAATCTGTTGTGTTTCCTAGACAATCATCAAAGTCTTTCACAGATGAACAGTGGGCTATAAACAGTAAAATTTAAAAACCATCTCAACAACAGGAAAAAAATGTTACAAATGTACATGCTACACATGTGCAAAATTCTGAATATTAAGAAAATTGTTCATGTTGGAGGGAGCAGGAGGAAATAGACATGATAGGGGAAACAATGAAATTATATTTTCATTAAAGAAAATTAAAATTTTTAAATACAAAAATGAAAATAAGTTTTAGCTACTTTATGATGTTCAAACATTATACTGATAAGGATCAGGCCTCTAAATTCATGATGAATATCCAAATATCTTTTCTTTACACTATTTTATATTGGCTATTTTGAAAATATGACTTTATAATGTTGATCCATTGGCCAAAGGTTAGCTAATGAATTTTTTTACACTAAATTTGAGTATATTCCTCTAGGTAAAAAACAAAAAAATCCTATCTAAAAGTAGAGGCGGTATAAAAATGGCATTCTTAATCTCAAATTATTCCTATTGTCCGGGAATGATAGCTGCATCCCCTCCCCTGAAAAAAGATGGTGATTTACACAGGTAGATTAAAGAAGCCATTGGATGAGTCTCTCACTCTTTTGCCTGCTCTTGGGACTATTTTCCTCCTGTTGCTTTGCTGTTTCCAGGCTCAGTGTGAGACATTTTGCCTTGTCTCACTTATCTTGTTTCACTGAATGTGGCTGTTGTTTCTTGGAAGCCTGCTCTTTTCTAAAGGAAAACAGCAGGAGTGGGTGGGGACAGAGTCAGGGGAGACTTGGAGGAGTGCAGGGAGAAGAAACTGTGGTCATGATGTATTGTATGACAGAAGAATCTACATTCAATAATATTTTTTTAAAGCACATGGACTAGTAAACCGCTGAGTGTAACAGGCACTTCAGGCCCAACATAATGTTTTTTTTCAAGGTCTCCAAAGAGACTTATTCTGTCAAAGGTATGGCTGAAAAAAACTCATTCCCAATGATAATTGAGAAAAAGGTTAGAGTCTTAAAACAAGTAAAGAAAACTTGTTACTAATCATTGGACCCATAAAACATAAAATCTTAGTCTCCCACCAAATGATGAATTATTTTTATCCTCTACCAGCATAGACACAAAAACAAAGTGTTTATACAGTAAGATTTCATAATTTTCTGTATCAGGGTATCTTTTTGTAATAGGAGATGGTAAAGAATGAAGATCAGAGCCCAGAAGGAAACCAAACTGTTCCTAAGTTTACTATTCAAATATATCACTCAGAGAAACATCACAAAAACATAAAGGAATTTGTAAGCAAACCCAAAAATACAGTATAATACTTTAAAAGTTTGGTTCTATTTTTTTTTAAAGATGAAAGCAACTTCAGCTAACCAAAATGTCCCCGCTAACTGCACATTACAGAAATCCCCACCACAATTACTGGGCCAAATTGCTGCTTAGGGGGAATTTAAGCCACTCCTGTTTTTACCAGAGAATATTCAGGAAAAGAAATATAGTTCTTAGCTTTCCAATAATATTAGACTTTATTTTATCAACACATATGACTACATTATTTATTTCTTTAACCATCAGTTTATATCAATCCATGTGATTTCTTTATAACAAATAAGTAAAAAATTTAATATATTATAGTTTAAAAGTTTTCTTTAAAAATTACAACTTTTACAGAGTCTGACAAACAAATTGATAAATATAAGTAACTTAAACCAATTCTCAGCATTTACTCAACTAAAATGTTTACTTATTTTCCCACAGAATTTTTCACATTTCATGTTTACCTAAAGAATCAGACACAAACATGCTAGTTTCAGAAGAAAAAAAATCCTTTCAGAAAGTAAACATTTCAAATAAAGCAGATATGCCCAGAAATTACAAAATTTTAATGGCAGAATTTTTGCTTAGAATGCTCTTTAATTCCTTAGGCTTAGACATTGTAACCTAATTAATTCATTATGTCTTCAACCTGTAGAAATAAAGCAAACAAAAATTTCTTACGTTGTGTGCAGTTTACCATCAAGAAATAGCAGATGAATAGAATTTGTGTCAGCATAAATGTGCAATCCGCCATTATCAAGGAAAAAGCAGAACCCTTAGCAGTCTTAACAAATGAACTTAGGTCTCCTGCATTTATGATAACCAGCTGGAGATTGTGGGTGGCTTATATAGCAGATACATGAAGATGGATTTTGAACTTTTTCCTTCCAGCCTGTGTAAATTGCTAATTAACTTTTCATTGTAGACTATTTGTTTCCTGTACCTGCTTGTTCCTGCTTCTAAGAACACAAGTGCTTGTGTTTATCCTCAACTCTGCATTATTTCCTAAAGCGATATCTTTATCTTTACACAAAGTTTCATAATGTTTTACTGCCAAAGAAGAATCTTTACTTGGAACATGTTTCTATGAATACATTTTTTAGCACTGATTAGAATCAGACATGAGATCTCAAACAAGGAGGAGGAAAGGAAAACACATGCAACCAGGAAGATTGAGCCCAATTAGGAATAGAAGACAGGAGAGAGGGAGAGGGAGATGGACAGAGAGAGAGAGAGAGAGAGAGAGAGAGAGAGAGAGAGAGAGAAAGAGAGAGAGAGAAAGAGAGAACATAAAAGAGGGAGCCAAGCATGGTTTGAAGATAAAATTGAACACAAAGAAAGGTCTAGAGAACTACAAGACTGCTGCCAACTAACAATTTGAGCTTCCCTGGAAAGGCTACCATAAATGCCCTTCCCGGAGAGTGAGATCAACAACTAACTTATCCATGGAGCCCTCAACTAATGTCTGTTGGAAACAGGAGCAAACACCCATACATAAACACTGAGTCAAACTAGAACCCAGATGCAAATGGAGAGAACAAGGCCAGGCAGCAGAAACACATAGAGACAAATTATCTGAACAAGGAGGAGCTAACGAGACACCAGACTGATAGCTGGGAAGCCAGCAAGGGACTGACTCAGGCTGCGCTGAATATGGGTCTCAGCCAGAAGGACTGAGCAGTCTAAGAGACCTCAGACAGTGGAGCCAGGATGTATATCCCTGGTGCACAAAAGGACTTTGGGATCACATCCCCCATGGAGGGATAACTGCCTTAATCTAGAGACAGGAGAGAAGCCCTAGTCCCTACTTCATATGACCTATCAGATCTACATGACCCCAACTGGATGGCATTCCCCTACATATGGAATTGGGGTGGGGGGGCTGGGAGGGGAGGGTGGTTAGAGTGCAGGTGAGAGGGCAGAGAGGGTAAAAGGGAGGGAAGGATGGAAGGAGGAAGGGAGAAAGGGAGGAAGGGAGGGAGGGAGAAAGGGAGGGAGGGAGGGAAGGAGATGGTATTGGGATCGACATGTAAAATAATAAATTAAAAAAATGCTTTGACTCCAAATTTTAAGTTCAAGGACAAGTTACTGGGGAAAAGGATTTCTATTTTTGTTTCCACAGAAAATGAAAAGATGTGGATTCCTTCCAGACTAATGTGGTTTGATCAAGCCAGACCGCATGGAACAGAGTACCAGGTGATTCTACATTCAAAACAGCTGGACAAAGCAGCCTTACAGACTACAGCCAGGATTTCTGCATCTTCTTAGAATCCCCCATGACAGCGCCCCTTACCAGCAGGAAGTAGTTTGGAAAGAACGATGCCCAAATTCCCAAATATTGTCCATAAAAGTTTGTTTTCATTTAAATGGACTTGGTTATATAAAATAAATATATTAAAATAATAATAATAATAATAAAAGTAAAAGTCAAAAATAAAAAGAATCAGAGATCTCTGACCTCTTAACTACTGAGATTGTTAGGCAAGAATTAGAAGATATAGATATGTAGCCTTGTCAATAAGAGAAAGAAAAATTAGAAAATGAAATGAAAGCTGAAACAGGTAAATACACCTGCTAGGAAAAAAATAAAAGGATGAAGAAGGAACTATTATTCAGGACAACAAATACAGATGTAATTCAGTTGAGACACTGAACTTACACTTTTTTTAAAAAAAATTATGAGCCATCTCTAGAGCCCTCATTTTATTTTTTTTTTAGTTTACATATCAATCCCAATTCCCTCTACCTCCATCCCTCTTTCCCTCTCCCCTCCCCTCACATGCACTCCTAACCACCCTCCCCTCCTACACACCCCCACTCCACATGTAGGGTTATGCCATCCAGGAGGGGTCATCTAACTCTGTCAAGTCATTTGAAGTAGGGATTAGGACTTCTCTCCTGTCTCTAGGTTAAGGCAGTATCCTTCCATGGGGGATGTGCCCGCAAGGTCCTTTTGTGAACCAGGAATACATCCTGGTCCCACTATCTGAGGTCCCTTAGACTGCTCAGGCCTTCTAGCTGAGACCCATGTTCAGGGGGTCTCAGTAAGTCCCATGCTGGATTTCCAGCTATCAGTCTGGGGACCCGTTAGCTCCTCCTTGTTCAGGTCAGCTATCTCTATATGTTTCTACAGCGTGGTCTTGTCCTCCCTCTCTGCATCTGGATTCTAGTTCAGCTCAGTGTTTAGTTGTGGGTGTTTGCCTCTGTTTCCAACAGGTACTAGATGAGGGCTCCATGAGGGCGGATAAGTTAGTTGTTGATCTCATTATCAGGGAAGGGCATTTATGGTAGCCTTACCACTGTTGCTCAAATTGTTAGTTGGAGTCAGTCTTGTAAGTCTTTGAACATTTCTTTAGGTTCAGTATTCCCTTCAATCCTATAATGGCTCCCTCTTTTATGTTCTGTCCTCTCTCTCTCTCTCTCTCTCTCTCTCTCTCTCTCTCTCTCTCTCTCTCTCTCTTCTGTCTTCTATTCCTCCCCTGACTCAATCTTCCTAGTCCCACATGCTTTCCTCTCCTCCCATTGTCTTTCTCCTAGTTCCCTCTCCACTCACTGCCCTCCAAAACAGGCAATTTTTAGAGAAAGAAATACAGTCTCTGGCTTGGCAAAAAATTCTAGTATTTATTTTATAGACAGATATTATTACATTGTTTATTTCTTAACCATCACATTAAAGAAATCCTTGTGACTTTATTATATCAAGTAAGTATATATTCAGTATATAAGTATATAATTCCTGATGAATGGACATGGCCACAGTATTACTTTGTCACTAAAACATAATATCTCTCTCTCACATTTGCTTGCTCTTTCATAGACTGCCACACATAACAAAAACACATGTTTAAGTTCATATCATCAAGATAACAGTTCGCACTATGGTGACTATATCTGCTATATATCCTCTACCCAGTGAAACTAGTTCACCATGTCACCATTTTCTATCTCAAAATTCCATTGTTTCTCACTTGTTGGAAAGTATACTTTATGTACTATTTCCTGTTTGGAAATTACCCATTATTTTATTTTATATTCTATGCTTGCTTTCTGGCTATAAATTAAAAATCAATACTCTGTGCTCAAGGTTGAAACATCTTGTTACCATGAATAAAAATATTTTTCTACCTTCTTGGCTCATCCTGATTCAATCTAATTTATTCTGAACAGTTTTATTTAATATTTTAATAGTAAGATATTTATTTTATAATACCATAGCAGCTAGATATGTACCTTATGATATCAGTATATTATTATGGAAATATACTCATTTTGCATATAGGTAATTTTGATTGGCTCTATTATAGTGAAAGCAAAATTCTCATATACATATAGCAAAAATAGAAGTGTTACAAATCACAGTGATGGGACATGTCATTTTATAAATATGTTTCTCTTATAGGTTAATGAATTGAGCACTGTTGGCAAATATGAAGGCAAGATAGTCAGGACTAGGAGACAAGGAGGATTCTGGGAGATATAGTAGAGAGGAGTCAAATTGTAGGGCATGAGAGAAGGTCCAGGGCCCTTTCTCCAGTAAGATAAGACCACATGGAAACATTTAGATTGATAGAAATGGGTTAGTATTTAAGACAGCTAGCTAATAAGAAGGTATAGTCACTGGCCAACGGTTTTATGACTAATAGAGTCTCTGTGTGTTATTTTTGGACTGAAGGGGCTCTGGGACTAGGATGGTGGGAAACTGCATGTAACATCACAGAATTTAATTCTCTCCCTATTATGTGACTTTCCTCTACAATATCCACTGCAATTTTCTTTTGTGACAGAGACTCACTATATATCTCTGGTTGGCCTCACACTCAATAGTAAATGTAGCTTATTACTAAATGATGGGATTAGAGGCATGTGTCATCACATATGTTTTCTAATGGACTTTAAGACAAAGCTTGTAAGTTCTTGATTCAGAACTTACAAATTACTATTGTCATTCAAAAATTTTGCTTTCATGTCACTGAGGCCTTCTACAAGCAGTTTTCGTAAAGCTCTGTCAAAATCCTTATTTCAGAAACTTCCAGTAAGTATGAAATAAATTCATTATGATTCACTTAGAAAGTTCCCTGGATAAAGTGAGACTCCATTCATACAGTAGCACTAAGTCCAGGGAAGGGAAAGTTTAGAATTCCCATATCCAATTCAGTATGGCTTCAGATAATAACAGGTTCATCCATCCTAAGACACCAAATTTTGCTAGTAATTTTGTATAGTAAGCACACAATGGACATTATATATAGCAACAAATTTTCCTTAGCAGCCCAATAAACACCTTTCATTCTACATGGAAACTAAAATTTCCAGATACTTCTGTGTTATAGCTCATTGTGCAACTAAGAGTTGTCATAAGGCAAATACCAACCAAGCGCCAGTTTTACTAAATGATCATTCTGTGCATTCATTCTAAATGTATGTGTTTATAATCATTGACTTACACTGCTCTTATCCATTCTCAGAAAAACTTTTGCAGTGGGTAGTAGTTAATTTAGTGAGTCATAACTGGTCAAAGTTCCTAGGAAATCTGAGTGCTACTCAGCTGTTGGTAGGTCATCTGTATTAACCTCCCACTATCCAAGATTCAGGGACTATCATGAAAAGGTAATGAAAATAAAGTTAGAGCTAGCAGATGATTAGGAGAACTATGAAAAACAGACTTCTGTACATGATATGGCCATCATGTACATCATTTAATAAAAGCTGTGGTTACCTACACAAATCCTGTACAAGATCAAGACGGCTGAAACC